TTGGCTGGCTGGGGCACCACCCCTTCCCCCGCACCGTGGGCGGTGCTACCCCTCAAGCGCCTTGGGCGGGAGGCAGACGGGGGTCCTGGAAAGAACGTGTGCTCGCGTGTTTACCCTTGGGAAGCAAGCGGTGGTCCCTGCCTTCCTTTTGATGTCTCCGTCCCATGTCTAGAAATTAGGTGGTTCGCCCACCTTTACTCCGTTATGTTCCCTCCACTCTACTTCGTGTGTGTTCCCCCTCGGAAAGTAGGTGGTGGTGCCGACTTTGCCTGGAGGCTTCTATCTTAGAAATCAGGCGGCGGCCTGGCGTGTTCTCCCTACGTGTATTCCTCCCCGAAAGTCATTCTTGAATATGACTATTTTCTGGTCCTAGAAAACTGGCGGCAGCTCATTACCTTGTTTCATATCTCCCATTCACATTACTCACAAGTTCTGAGCTCTCGCCAGTTATCTGTGTGGCAGAAAATAACGGGGACGTGGCCTCAGGCCACGAAGGAGGTCATGTTGAGCGTAGTTAGGGCTCAGAAGGAAGTGGGCCCCTTCCCTGGGCAAGCGGCCCCGGGACGCATAGTTCCCAGTTGTGGCTCTCAAACCCAAGGCCACGTGTGTCAGAATATGCTGCGCAGGCAGTTACAACAAACGGTTCAAGTGTCCTGAGGTGACTTGTTAAAATTGCAAAGTCACGACTTTGAAGTTAGCACTTGTGCTTGATAACTCATCTGAGAGCCAGGATTGAAACTTCCCTTATTCCTGGCTGGCTGGACGTAATCTTGAATTTAAAGTGTCCCTGTAAACAGGAAAGATGGGAAATGACAAGTCTTCAACTAAGAATCTTCCCTTTTAGAAGATTGATGTTACTATATAAATCAGTGGTAGGAGATGCTAATGTCAAAGTTGATAATCTAAGAATAGTGAAAGGCATAAGCGTAGGAAAAGGCATAAGCATAGGAAAACTAACTGCATTTGCATTGAAAGTCAGCTACTTACCATTATATTTTGGCCTTTTTGTTTTTTCCTCGATTATTTCCTGTTATATTTCGGGTTTTTCCATTTATGACGTTCTTAGTTGTTTGTTGTGCATGCTGTTTTGTTTTTAATTTGAAGAAAGTGTCTAATTTCATAAATCATAGAGGAGAAATTCACCCTAACTTTGTTGTTTATTTCATTGTTTTTAAACCTTGAAAAAGTTATGCACTTATTTACTTAGGGTTAAACCAAAACTACCACTTAAGTATGAGAGAATTTTTCAAAAATTAGTCTTTAGTATACTTTGGAGTCAATACATTTACTTAGAATAGTCACATGTTTTTGTTTCTCAAACGTTTTGTGTCATACTGAAGTATTGAGCTGACCACTATGAGTTTATCTGGGCTATAAAAAGTGTTATTAGGTTAATAATATCTGGTCAAAGAGAGTAACTGGAGTTTTCTTACAGGGAACTGAGCTCTACCCTCAACATAAAATTTTAAAGCATTTCTCTTTTCCTTTAATAAACATAGAGAGTTTATTTTCCTCTTCGTTCTTATTCCTCTGAACTGCATGTCATAACAGTAGGCTTTGAAAACCTACCTTCTCTTTTTAACTGAGAAAAGAATTCAAAATTTATTTAACTATTAACAGTCAACTATTGTTGAATGTAGTAACTTAAATCCAGTTTCATGTACAAACTAGTTGAGCACATAGTGTAAATGTTGGACATTCCATGTTTTGGAGCATCACGGCAGTAAAGGAGATACCATTTGAAGTCATCCCTCCAATTAGTTGAAGTTTTAGATTCTTCTGGTAACTATGAAGTGTAGACTATAAAGTTCCTTGAGTGAATTGTTGACTTCCTGTATCATTCAAGGCAATCACCCTGATTGTGTTTGTTACTTTTAGAAGAACTGAGTTCTGTTTGAAACTTGGACTAACCTGACTCTGATACAGATGCCACTGCAAAGTTCTGAGCATTGTTACATAGTAGCATAATCACTTCACTGCTCAACAAAGGAGGCTACTTTTATGTAATGTTTAGTAAATGGCTATTATGTATTTCCTGCCTCATCCATGTAAGCAAATGTAATTTATCAAAGCAAAGAAAATCAAATTTTCAAGTCATAAAAGAGAAAATATAATGATCCTCAATTACTGTCTTTGTTGCATACTGCATCATGTTAATAACTGCTCACACTGCTTTTAATTAATCTAATGCTTATTGCTTCTAACCTTCACTAAACAGTTTTGAAAATTGCTATAGTTTAGCCTGCGACGCTTATGATTAGAGTCAACAGTTTGAAATGGCCAGCTCACCTGATGCAGTCGTCTCTTCTCCACCAGCTTTCTTAAGGTCTGGTAAGTGTGTAGACCCCAAAAGGGTCACTTGGTCATTTTAAATATCTTTGTTTCTGAAGATTGATGTCATCATAGGATATCATTTTGGTTTTATTTTCCTTTTGGTGGACCCAAGTCTGAGCACCATTTCTGCTATTGCAGAGCCCAGGTTTGCACTGTATGTTGAATGTGGCCTGTGGTGTTGTGAGAGGCGAGGGCAGTGCAGAGTGGAGTCTCTGCCTGGACGCTCCTTCTGTTTGACCAGGGGCAGTTTCTCAGTGTCTGGGAGGCTGAATTGTCGAATTGGCACATAAGAAGTTTCCTTAATGATTTTTGTCTTCTTGCTTAATACAGATAGCTAATGAATTAGACATTTTTGATCAGTGTCCCAATTATTTTCTCTTCATCAACTCCCTGTGAAGTAGATATTTTTCTATACATTTTCATAGATGAGAAAGGGAAGCCCACAGCATAGAAACAACTTGCTCTAGGTCCTGAGACTGTTAGGTTTCAAGGCCTTGTGCTTTGCCTTCCATCTCATGGCTTCCCAGAGAAGATGTTGGTGAAAGGACTAGAGAAGAAGTTGGTGCAGTGGCTCTTAGACTGTCATGTTGGTGAGAACCTCTGTAGGCTGGATGAAAGCTGTGCAGTTGCTCCCCGGTTGAGTGCCTAGGATTTTGAAAACAATTCAGAAGAGGTCCATGTATCCAGGGAAGACTATGTATGGGTTCCCACTGGGAACCCAGGCCTTTGAACGTGTCCAGTTTCTCTTTCCGGAAGAAGAAAAGGGCTTTGTTAAGTGGCCATAGAGCTGAAATGAAGACTAAAGACTTTAAGACTTTTTCCTGTGGGTTGCAACTCACTTTGGGCCATTTAAAACCATTGTTCCCAGTGTGAACACTGGGAAAAGCCTTTTGGCAAGAGACTGCTTTGTCTCTAATGTGCCCTAAGCAGAATATTCAAGCCTCAGGACTCAGTAATAAGTAAATGTAAGATGAGCCAGTCCAAACAGTGACAGTGAAAAATTCTTTCTTTTTGGCTTCACCATAACCATCAGAAATGGTTCTCTCCCTTTATTTCCATTTATATTTCAAGTCCTGTTTTGGCAAGATGGAGGAGGAAAATCTTAAAAGAAAACAAATTGGAGCTAGCTTAGGGAAGAGTTGCAAACAGGAGAAAACAAAGTGTATACTTTAAGAAACAAAAATGATCCGTGTCTTCAGCTGTCATCTGCTAAATGACAGGATAGTATATTATATGTAACATTGCGAATTGATTTCTGATTTAATCTGTGAACTAAGAGAACAAGAGGACATAACATCTTTGAACTGTGCTTTCTTTTAAGCACCAGGCTGTTTTCCATCTTGGCTTTCCTAGGTTGATGGGTTTCACTAGAAGAGTCATTCAGTAGTTATGGGAAAATGGAATGCTGAAGATACGCTTTTATGCATCTGTAGTTCTGAAAGTTTCAAAATGCAAGATCTATGCTGTAACATTACATGGAATGTTTAGAGGCATATACAGGAAGTTTTTCCAATACCATATTATTAAATCTAAATAGAGAACAGCAAGAAACAAAATAGAAAAAACACCAAACTTGATTATTATAAGCCATTTAAAAGATGAATTTCTTATAAATTACTGTCAATATTTACATTTGGGGTTTGTCTAACCAAAACTTAGTGATGAGTAAAGAAATACTTAAAACTTTTATCTGTTTAATAGAATGGTTTGCATTATAGTTTATCTGCTAATTTAGAAACACTGCATTTATGTTGGAAAATGATTTGTTTTCCCCTATGGTAGTTCCTTGGACGTTATCTTTGGAGGAGAGTATTTTATGGTGTGATTTCATTTAATAGTCATTTTAAAGCATATCTTGTGTTCACAGCTGAGCTTTTCCCTGGTACTTTTGACTAGAAACTATCAAATGTAACCAAAAATGAAAGCCAATACCTTGATTTTTGGAAAATTGGTTTCCAGTATGCCTAGATTGTTTAGGAATTTTAACCTTCCTTATTCTTCCTAGATTTGTTTCTGCTATTTTTGTTCTTTATTTCTACTCGATATTAAATTTAGTGTGTCCTGCGTTTCTGTGTGTGCATGCTTGAGTTGTGCTGTGACTGCTAATGTGTCAGCTATTAGGGAACGAGTGTAGCATTCAGTAACTGAGATTACTTCCATTTTTCATTTGACTACTTCAGTTATACATTAGGTTAGCAAAGTTGGTCAACTGTAGCAGTCACATTGGCATTACAGTTCAGTTTTTTGTAGTAATTGTTACGACATTTTGTGATGAGGTAAGACATGTCTTGGCATTTTTACTTTTATTCTTAGAAGAATAGATAATTTTAAAAATTACTCTTTGAAATGAACCATTGGCTTATCTCTGTCTTGGCTCAGCATGTGACCTGAGTTTTTATTTTTACTTACTTCTTTTTAGGTTCTTTGATTAATTTGATTCGTTGGGCATATCAATACCTGGTATGTTCTGGGCAGAACTCAACTTTTTATTTTGTGTGTCTGACACTCTTTTTAGGCGTTTATTTAGCAGCCTTGTTTTCAGCCTAGTTTAACAGTCAAGGGATCAAAAAGGTTAAAGAGACTGTAGACCTGAGTTTCCTGGACTGTTATAGGTCATGGCCCCTTTTAAGAGTTTGAGGAAAGCACACATTTTGTGTTCAGCTCTGCCAGGATCTAGTCCTAGCTCTGTGTTCTTACTATCTCTGATCTTGAGCAAGTTGCTTTACATTTTTGAAACTTGGTTTCTTTCTCTATAAGAATAAGGATAATAAAACTTATCTGGAGGGATTATTATGAGGATTATATAAGATGCTATATGCAAAACACTTGATATTCAGTAGCTGCCCAATACACTTTATTTTTCATCTTTCCAAAAAATCATGTCTTTTACAATGTTGCTGGTGTGTATTTAAGAGTAGAATTTACAAAAGCAGACAGTGTTGCTTATTTCTTTCCCTCATTTTGATATTTACCCTCATAGTAGCCATTTGATTAAGAAAACTTGTTATGCTAAAATGCAATTAGATGAAATCAGATTACCCAGAATCTATCTCTCATTTTAATCTAAGTCCATTTCTTTTTTGTCAATAATCATACAAATCTGAAGCAATTGTTTCTGAAAGTTTCCATGGAAACTTCTGTCACGCAGCAAGGAGACCAGTCATTATTTTACGTATAGTTAGAAGATATTTTGTGTTACGTTGGGTGTGTAGTGGGTTCCGATCAAGTAAGGTGGAATTTTCCGAAGAACTTGTAAATTGTATCTTGCTGGGAGCTCTGATCTCTTCTTACTCAGTCCTGCCCTGTAATCTTACAAGATTTAGGAAATAGAAGCTATATGATATGGCTTAACTCCCTTGACATGAATCTCATTGACCTTAAAGCATACTTTCTTTCTGTGTCATTATCCTCAGCAAAGATGATTCTTCAGATTTTATAAGTGAAATGATTTCTTGAAGAGTACAATGGCTCGTCTCACTGCTTTAGATGTTACAAAATACTCAAATTGTGTATCCTAAAAACTCTTTTTTCCTCTTGCTGTTTTCTTTATCTTCAGTCTTCTGTGAAGCCAGAGAAAGAGTAAGAGGAACTCCCCAGAATTCCTGTTTCTGATGTAGGTGCTTGCTGACATTTCCAAATGGATGTATATGATAGACATCTCACATGGCCAAAGCAGAACTTTCATTTTCTAGTTGTATTCCTACCACCCCAATGTATGCCTGCTTAAATCTTCTTCATTTCAATAAACTGAAGCATTATTCTTCCAGCTGCTAAGATAATGCAGACGTTATTCCTCATTCCCTCATTCTTTTTTATTCAGTTTATTTGTAAATCTATTCCAGTTTCAGAAACATATACCAAAATCTGCCTCTTTTTCTCCAACTGTACTCCTACCTTTCTAATCTAAGCCACTTTCATCTCTGATGTAAACTACTGAAATAGCCTAATTTCCTGTCTTCATATTCCTGCCTCACAGTAATCTGTTCTCTACCGAGCAGTGAGAAGAATCTCTTAAAAATCTAAGTCAGTACCATACTGCTGTGATTATTGTCGCTTTGTGGTATAGTCTGAAGTCAGAGAGTGTGATTCCTCCAGCTCCGTTCTTCTTTCTCAAGATTGTTGTGGCTATTCGGGTCTTTTGTGTTTCCATACAAATTTTTAAAATTTTTGTCCCAGTTCTGTGAAAAATGTCATTAGCAATTTGATAGGGATTACTCTGAATCTGCATATTGCCTTGGGTAGTATGGCCATTTTAACCATATTAGTCTTCCAGTCCAAGAAAACGGTATTATCTTTCTATCGGTTTGTGTCGTCTTCAGTTTCTTTCATCAGTGGCTTACAATTTTTGGAGTACAGGTCCTTTGCCTCCTTAGCATCGGTAGTCCTAGGTATTTTATTGTTTTTGATGTGATGGTAAATGGGATTGTTTCCTTAATTTCTTTTTCTACTATTTCATTGTTAGTGTATAGAAATGCAATTGATTTCTGTATATTAATTTTGTATCCTGTAGCTTTGCCAAATTCATTGATGAGTTCTAGTTGTTTTCTGGTAGCCTCTTTAGGATTTTCTACATATAGTATCATGTCATCTGCAAATAGTGACAGTTTTACTTCTTTTCCAGTTTGTATTCCTTTTTTTTTTTCTTTTTCTTCTCTGATTGCTGTGGGTAGGGCTTCCAAAACTATATTGAATAAAAGTGGTGAGAGTGGACATCCTTGTCTTGTTCTTGATCTTAGAGGAAATGCTTTCAGCTTTTCACCATTGAGAATAATGTTAGCTGTGGGTTTGTCATATATGGCCTTTATTATGTTAAGGTATGTTCCCTCTCTGCCCACTTTCTGGAGAGTTTTTATCATAAATGGATGTTGAACTTTATCAGAAGCTTTTTCTGCATCTGCATCTGCATCTGGCACAAAAACAGACACACAGATCAATGGAACAGGATAGAAAGTCCAGAAGTAAACCCATGCACTTAATGTTCAATTATTCTATGACAA